GCCCCCTGCTTTCTGAGGATAAGACTGTCAATCAATTCTGTATCTTTCACAGTACAATGCCTTACATACAAGGGTGTTCAGTGTTCTTTAAGGGATAATAATCATAACAATAAAATGAACCTAGGCTTTGGAGTCTAATAGTCCTTCATGTATTCAATGAGTAGTTACTGGTGACCCATTTTGTGCTGGAACTGAACTCAGCTCAAATCTAGATTCACCCATTTAATATCTGTATAATGCTGAACAAGTTATCTAATCTTTCTAAATCTATTTTCTGCTCTAAATTGAATGCACTACCTACACTTCACAAGTATTTGAGGATTAAATTCAATAATATATTCCTTTTGGTACACATGTCCTCAGTAAATGCTATTTCCTCTTTTCTTCCTTTCGTCAAAAGTAATTGAACAGGGCCGGCCCCGTGTCTTAGCGGTTAAGTGTGCGCGCTCCACTGCTGGCGGCCCGGGTTTGGATCCCGGGCGCACACCGACACACCGCTTCTCCGGCCATGCTGAGGTCGTGTCCCATGTACAGCAACTAGAAGGATGTGCACCTATGACATACAACTATCTACTGGGGCTTTGGGGGAAAAATAAATAAATTAATTAAAAAAAAAAAGTAATTGAACACATTTCTTTAGGTCTGTGAAAAAAAGGTAGTATATAGAGGATACACACAGGAGAAAAATGATCTCAAACTTTTAAGCAAGTAATTTCAAATTTATAATCTATATTATAAACCTCACATTTTCTTAGTAAAATTACCTATTCAGAGTCTGAGAAGTAATGTCATTTAAACTGGAGAACTCTCATATCCCACAGTGATACCACTATAGTTGCTAGAAAATTACTTGATCTTAACCAAAATTTGCTTTTCCAAGAGGCCTGAATACCTTATAGGTACACTTTCTTAGGCAACTAATTTAACAAACATATTAAGCTCTCACTCTGCAGAAGACACTGTATATGGAGCTTTATGTACTATCATACTTGGAAGGTAAATATCCTGAAGAGGGCACAGTGATGGAGGACTCGCACACACTGCTGGTGAGAACCGAAAACGAGTACAACCTTCCAGGAAGGTAAACTGGCAGTACATACAGTATCAAAGGCCTCAAAACCAACATACCTTGTGATCCACTAATTATATTCCTAGGAATCTATTCAGAGGAAATAGTCAATGATATAAAAGATTCGGGCACCAGATGTTTATTGTAAAATAATAACATTTTTCAAAAATCCACATTCAATATGCATAGGTGGACAGAATTATGTTTTTTTAAACGTTAAGAGTGATTATTTCTGGGTAGCAAAATCATGGGCAGTTTTTATTGTCTTACTTTTTTGTATGTTCCAAGATTTCTGCAATTCAGATATGTTATTGATGAAAAAACCTTTTTTTTAAAGTAGCAAAACAAACTTGTCCTCAGAGGTAAGAAAGTAACAACATATTTGATTATCACTTTAGAATTTTAAAAGTGATTTCAGATATATAGTTAGCTGGATCCTTAGAACATGCCATTAAGGTGGATAAAGTGATTGTTTTGTCAATTTAACAAATGAGGAAACTAAGGCTTAGGTTATGTGGCTTGCCCAAGGTTAAAGAGAGTTGAGACTAAGAATCCACAATTCTCATTTCTAATTCTATGCTCTTTTCTCCACCAGTGGTTCTCAAAGCTTGGTCCCAGAACTGGCAGCAGCAGCATCACCTAGGAACCTGTTAGAAATGCAAACTCTCAGGTCCCAGCCCAGATCTACTGAATCAGAAACTCAGAGATGGTGGTGGGCAGCAACCTGTGTTGTAAAACAAGCCCGCTAGGATTCCGCTATGTGATAAATCCAAGAGCCAATGCTGTGTATCATGCTGCCTCATAAACACTTTGTGAGATAATCAAAACATTTCTGGGAAAAAGGGAGCGGTGGTGTTATTTTACCACTGTCAACTGCATTTTCACATTCTTGCAAATTAACAGGAGGTAGTAACTATAAAGATTCACAATAATCTTAATGTTTGATTCCTGACAACATAATTAACCAACCATTTTCTTTTGGATTACCACCAGTCCTAGAAGACAGACAGATCTTCAGTACAGTAATGTCACAGGAAACGAACTGACAAGAATACTGGAACATCACTAGCTAAAAATGCTCAGAGAAGGAAGTCTGTTATATTTAGGTGTGTTGTATGCATGGGCAAGGAGTGGGGGCAGGAATCAGAAACATAACAATTTTTATTAACTTGAATTGTTACTTCTAGAAATATTCTCCTGACCTTGGTAACCCTGAAAACCAATATGACTACCTGATCTGTTGAATCCAGTTCGTAACCACTTACAAAGCACTCACTATATGTAAGGCATTGTACAAGTGCTACTGGAAACACAAAGCTAAGAAAGATACAGGGCCTGCCCCGTGGCTTAGCGGTTAAGTGCGCGCGCTCCGCTACTGGCGGCCCGGGTTCGGATCCCGGGCGCACACTGACGCACCGCTTCTCCAGCCATGTTGAGGCTGCGTCCCACATACAGCAACTAGAAGGATGTGCAGCGATGACACGCAACTATCTACTGGGGCTTTGCGGAAAAAAAAGGAGGAGGATTGGCAATAGATGTTAGCTCAGAGCCGGTCTTCCTCAGCAAAAAGAGGAGGATTAGCATGGATGTTAGCTCAGGGCTGATCTTCCTCACAAAAAAAAAAAAAAAAATAAGAAAGATACAGTTTCTGCCCCATGTAACTTTTAATGGACTAGAGGATGTCAACATTTCATCAAGAATAAAGCAAGGCAAAGAGAGGGAGTGCCACAAGATAAATTTAAAAATTTGTCATGGAAATTCAAAGAAAGGTGACATCTCATTTTGGAGATAGCAGACAGGAAAATGTGAGTCTGAGAGACAGAATTTCAATAGATAAAAGTGGAGGAAGGGGACAAATCAGTCTCTTATTACAGAGAAAATGAGGCAGCAAGTAGGAGGGGAGCGTATGTGCAGAAGGACATCATAGTGTGATTGCAGGCAACAGTGGAAAGACTGGTCAGGTTACGCTGTCTCGCCAGGAACAAACTAGGTCACTTTGGCCAAGAAAATCCACCTCTGAATCACAACTACTCACTTACGATAAGAATAATAACAACTATCTTATTTACCTCATGGTTATTTACCTGAAAAAAAGGCCAGAGAGGGAAAAGCCTCAATATAAAAAACATAGCACATGTTCAAAGTTCAATTATTATTCTCTATTAGGTAAGCCAAAATTGTGTACTATTGAAAATATTTCAATTCATAATGTTTCCATTTCAAAAATTACTTTCAGTTTCTATTATTAGTAAATGAAGCATAAATAATATGGATAACTAAAAATAATGTGAGCAGAAAAATCAAATTATAAAAATTTTTAAAATAGATTTTTTTGTGTGTGTGAGGAAGATTAGCCCCGAGCTAACATCCATTGCCAATCCTCCTCCTTTTGCTGAGGAAGATTGGCCTTGGGCTAACATCCGTGCCCACCTTCCTCTACTTTATATGGGACACCACCATAGCACGGCTTGACAAGCGCTAAGTCAGTTCACGCCCAGGATCTGAACCTGCGAACACTGGGCCACCAAAGTAGAACACGCAAACTTAACCACTACACCACCTGGCTGGCCCCTAAAAATAGATTTTACAGGAAAGTATCTTTCTTTGGGGAGGCTTACTTACCTAGCAAAAGTATATTGGCAGTTTCTTCTAAAACTAAAAATACAGTTATCAAACAACTCAACAACTACACTTTTGGGCATTTATCCCAGAGCAATAAAAACTTACGTCCATGCAAAAACCTGCATACAAAAGTCAATAGCAGCTTTAGTCGTACGAGCCAAAAACTGGAAACAACTCGAATGTCCTGAAATGAGCCTATGGTTAAACAAATTATGATACATCTATATCATGGAATACTACTCAGCAATAAAAAGGAACAAATTTGTGGTGGATTCAAGGTAACTATGCTGAGTGAGAAAAGACAATTTGAAAAGAATACATACTGTAACCTTTTTGAAATAAAATTATAGAGAGCTGGAGAACAGATTAGTGTTTGCCAGAAGTTAGGAGAGGGCTCATGTGGCTATAATGGGCAGCACTAGTGAGCACAGTGGTGATGGAACAGTTCTGTATCTTGACTATGGTGGTGGTTACATGAAGCCAGTTACATAACTACACACATAAATGAGTACAGGTATAAGTGGTAAAATCTAAATAAGCTCTTATGTCAACCTTCTGGTTTTGATATTGTATTATACTTATTTAAGGGATCAACAGTGGGGAAGGTGGGATGAAGTATCCATGGGACTTCCCTGTATATTTCTTTGCAATTTCTTGTGAATCTATTATTATTCTAAAATAAAATGTTAAAAAAAAAAAGGTACGTTGCCATTTTTTCTAAATGGATGATGCCCATTCTTCTAACAGTACTATGAAAGTGGTATTCTTACCTATTGCTGATGGCATACTAAATTGCTACAGTCTCCTATGGAAAATGATTTTACAGCATAAAATTTTACAGGGCCATAGAAGTTTTATGCCCTTTGACCTAACCATCTAATTTCTGGGAATCACCTAAAGAAACAATACCAAATTTGGGAAAACATATATACATATATATACATATATAAAGATGTTACTACAGTGTAATTGAGAACACAGTAAAACTGGAAGCAACTTAGACATTTGAGAATATGGAAATCATTAAATGCTCCAAATCTAGTCATGAAATATTATGCAACCATTGATAATGTTGATAATGGTACAACAATATAACAGAAAATGCATATTATGAGAGAATAAAGCAAAATTCAAAATTCGCTCCTAAAACATGCATATAAAATAACAGGAAATATTTTCCACAAAAATAAAAGATGATAATTGTGTATGTGTGACAGAATTATAGGTATTTTTCTCAAACTTTCTTATACAGTTGTCATAGTTAAAGAGTTACAAAGTTTCCTAGTTAAAGAAATAAGCATACTCTTACCTTATCCCAGAAATCAACCAAAGCTGTAAAGTCCCATTTCTTAGAATATGCCACATTGTATTTCAGAATAGCATCCTATGGAAAAAGCGTAAACAAAATTTCATGATATAGTCAAGTGAATTATCTGTGAATAGCCTGTCTCCTTTATGAACTATTTCCAGTAAATTTCTTAATGCTGGACAAGCTTCCTCCTGTCATTAGGTACTCCACATCAGTAGCTATGAAAAAATAAAATCCATGCTAATTTATTATTCACTTAAGACAAATGAGATTAGAAAGGTCAAGTAATAGTTGAAAAAACGAAAATTACTCTAAAACATGCATTTTAAACAGAGGTGATATACTCTAAGTGGACAAAAATTGGACCTTGGGGATAAAAAAATTTAAATATTACAATGATTTCTGGCCCTCAATAGGGTAACATTATACATATAGACATACAGTGTATTTGCAGTATTAAAATTTCATGAGAAGAGTAAATTAGGAAAAAATGTCTTAAAGGCTCCCAGGGAGAGAGAGCAATAGTGAAAAAATGATTGAGAAACATTGCCCTAAAGCATAAAATGGTCTTTTTTCCTTTATTATCAGCTATTTTTATAAGGTACATATAAAATGCTTATCTTCCCCCAGCAGTTCACACAAATTACATATTTATATAGAGTGAAAAGTCAAAATAGTATGCCACCTACTGGTGTAATGTTCAATTGTCTGAATAGGCAGTACTCTATACCTGGTTACCAGTGTTAAAAACAAGAAGAGAGGCCCAAAATGGAGTCACTTATGCTAAACCCCACCTCACCAAACTGAGATTAATTTAATTACAGTTTCAGCCTCTCCCAGAAACGGAATCTTAAACCAGTCAATCGGGAATCACTTGGTCAGCACTAGTGAGGTCATCTGCCTGATAGGCCCCTGCCATCCCCTAAAGGAAAGTAACCTTGCCACAACCAATCTACTTTTTGCTACCTTAACTTCCTTCCCACTCCCTTCTGCCTATAAAAAAGTCTTTCATTTAGCACAGCAACTGGGAGCTTCTTTCTATCTGCTAGATGGGATGTTGCCCGATTCAAGAATTGTTGAATAAAGCCAGTAAGATCTTTAAAATTTACTCAGTTGAATTTTGTTTTTTTAACACCAGAGTGGGGTATGCATAAGTTAATCCATTAGTTATGCAGACAGAAAAATTATTTACAATTATATTTCATCTCATCCTTTTTAATTTCTATTTTGATTATATTTTATAAAGTACATATTATATTAATAAAGTAGTAAATATGTAGAATATATAAACTATTTGTATTCATAATACACACCCCAAAAATTTTTAAAAATATATAAGTCTGAAAAACACTTTATTAGACTATTTAAACCTTCCAAATTTCCTCATCATTGAAGAAGTTCTAAAAAAATTAACACTCTGCCAAAGAGATTCCTGAAAAATACTGAATGCCATATAAATAATCACCAAGTATCTACATTAAAAATCAAGCCAACAAAATATATATTATTTACTTGGAATCAGTAGATATCCAAGTTCCTTCAAAAAGGAAAAGAAAAAGCACCAACCATAAAATAACATTGCAATAAAAAGCTTTTATTTTTCTCTCACAGCCATAATATAAAAATTTCCATTAAGAAAGAAAAGAATTTAAGGATTTTTCTCTAATCACTGGTATCTGATTTCAGAACCTCACACAAAGCATTAAATCACAATGTCTATCAACAGGTGAATGAAAAAACAATGCATATACTGCAACAAACCACTGACACACTCAACAACATGGATGAATCTCGACAATCTTCATTCTGAGTGAAAGAAGCTAGACACACTGCATACATACTATGTGATTCCATTCACGTAGAATGTAAACTAATATAGTAAAAGCAGCAGATCGATAGTTGCCTGGGGCCAGTGCAGAAAGAGGAATTTATTGCAAAGGGGTAAGAAGAATCTTTGAGTGACAGGAATGTTCTGTATCTTGATTGCAGTGGGGGCTTCTCACGTGTATGCAAATGTCAAAGTTCACCAAATTACACACTTTAAAAGAATGCAATTTCTTATATGTAAATCAGTCATCAAAGGTGGTAAGGAATAACATTTTAAATAGCGTTTACACTCTAATTCTTTAATGGGGTTTTATAATTAGCATTAACTCCTAACTAATATTTACTTTTACATCAGTGTTCAAGTCTCAAAAGTAGTCTACCAAGAGGTCTCTATCATTAGAAAAACTAGATGCTATTCTGTACTCTTAGCTATCAACTACTGAGTGAGGTTTTTTTAGTTCATAATTCATACTTAGCACAATTAGTTAAAGCACAAAGAAATCCATTCTTTGCAAATTATCAGATACATCATTTATAGAAATATTACTGTGTAAATCAACTTTTGAGGACACTGTTCCTTTTTTAAACTTTTAACATGTCTAATCCCTCCTAAGTCAACATCAGATGGCATAAAAACAGCAGTAAGATTATTATATTCACTAAGAGGGATTTAATGTTTCCCCCTCCCTCTGACAGTGTTCTTTCAGCAAAGGAAACAATTACCATAAGCAGATAGAAGAAAATCTCGATGGATTACTCTGTTCTGTTGAATCTACCATAAAATAAACGAGAAAGGGAAATTCAGATTAAAGCAATTACCCCTTCCTAAAGTAATCATGGCACACTAAGGAATTGCTAAAGAGGTGAGCAGACAATGTAATTTAGAACAGTATGATTATCTGCGTTTACACTTAAAGAAAAAATACGAAAATTCTTAATAATCCTGTTTATAAGGTTATAAGGGCCCTAAGACAGTGTTTCTCAAATGGAGTCTGGATAGTATTCTTGGATAGCCTGCTTCTGTGTTTGTCAGTTTATAATTGTGGTTTTGGGATAGACAGGCCAAAAGACAACACACTGTGGAAATGAAAGCTGGTACTTTAAATAGATAAAAATGGTGTAAAGATTGAGCCATCCTAAGGTACACTGCAGTAGAGGAATGTCAAATTTTAAAGAACATGGACCAAAGTGGTCACTATCATATTTATTTGCAAGCTGATGTTTTGTATACAGATCCCATCTTTGCATCTACCAACATCCATCAACTGTCTGTGATTAGTAAGAAAAGTAGTAAATACAAAATGAAGAATTTTTTCTTTATATAGTATTTTTAAAAGTTTTTCAGCATACTATTTTGGGGTTCGGATTAGTGGTTAAAAAACTTCTGTGCAAAAAGAGAATAGTGACAACAAATTGTTTTCACTGTGATAATGAACACAACTCAAATGATGGTTCATAATGCTTAACATGGAAAAAAATCAAATTGATATAGCTGTATACTATAAAGAGTGTGCATTTAGTTTTATGTTTGTACATATGTACTTAACATTATGCTACTAAAAATAAGTAAACTCTGGCAGATCTTGAGAATTTCTTTCATTTAAAAGGAGTACATTACAAGATTGAGCAACAGTGTCCCTAAGGATTGAAATTTTCAAAATACATTATGGTACAACATATCAATGTTTTTCATGTTAAGAAAAAAAAAAAACAGGAGCTACAGAAAGCTATAGAAAGTTTAAGAAAAACTTGTGTATTTGCTGAGAAATTGTACACAGCAAATTAAGTCTCAAAGAAAATGAAACACAATTTCACAGAAGCATAGAAAAATCTGTTAGTGTTTATGGTTATAAAAACTTTAAAAGTTTACATGGCCATAGTGCCAAAAATAAACATATACTCACTCATATTTCAGACATTAGAAAAACAATCTAATGGTTGCCCTTAGTCTTAAATGAAATATTAAAAAAACCAAAAAATAAATTGCCAAAATATGATTAATAAATAAATTATTAAACTGCTAGAAGCTATGTTAAGAGCAATAAAAAACAGAATGCTTAATGTATACTTTAATCATTAGGAAACTCAGCTTCCCTTTGGGCAAATATTGCTGAAGTCATAATTCTTTCCTGATTTACTTTTAAAGACATTTCAGAAACACGGCAATTCTAAAACAAAAATAAAAGGGAAACTTGGACTGAAGGAAATTGGATGGGGAATCAAGAAACAGAGGTCTTATTCCTGGTTCTCCAAATTATTCTGTGTGGCTCCAGGCAAGTCATTTACAACTCTCAATGCTTCTACTCATTTGCCAGTGATGGAGTGGAAACCAAGAAGTCTCTAAAGAGACTTCCTCACGAAGCAAGCACTACTGCATATAAATAATGTTGTTGCCTGAGTCTATTAAAGATCAAAAAATGTCCTTGAGGGAGGAGACATTGATCCCACCTCTAAAAACTACATGTAAGAGGCAAGAATAGCAAAAAGAACACACCTTCAGGTTTTGAGGTCGTGTGAATTTGTTGAGAAGTGCAGTCTGAATGAGCTCCCACCGGCTCCCTGCAGTTCGCTCACCATTCTTTAAGGAAAAGGAAAAACAAATGAGGAAACTATTCTAAGTTCTTTTGCAACATAGAATGAGAAGTCAAACAAGCATGCACTAAACTATCTTTCAGAGACTAAAAGAACATCAGTTTTGTTCTTACCTCATCTTCCACAGGGTACAAATTTTGCTCTGAACAAGGCATCTTAACATGCTTGTTGTCCCACAAATCTTTAAAATGTGTTGGAAAAGGTTTGGGAACTTCTCCTGCTCGCAAAAGATCTACCTGAAATAGAGGTAAATAAGAAAACTCTAAGTGCATAAAAACTAGGTATCTCTTCTACAAAATAACCCAAAGAAAGCAGCCAAAGCAGATGCTATAAAATACAGACCAGCTCCTAGGCAAGAAAGTCTTCTTGAAAACTCAGAAAGATCTCAGAAGTCTTCTTCAGCTGTTCCCACTCCTTATCTCTGTTTAATCAGTTTCCAAGTTACCATGTCCTGGGCATTCTATCTCCATCTCATCTAGGTCCCCAGTCCTCTTATTCCTTGCCTGAATTTCTGCCAACAGCCTTTTCTATCCCTCTCCCTAACTCCAACTGATCCCAGAGACGTTCATCCCCCCATAAAACCCTATCCCTACTTGGGAATAACATTATCTTACTAAAGTATTCTCAGGCTTCTAATCCTACAATGGCTCCCCTCTGCCTATACTCTGATTCCAAATGATGTTCTCAGTTTTTAACATCCTCTCTGACCCAAACACAATCTGGTTAAATACCTATTCTGACCTTCAACATTCAGATCAATCTTCATTTCCTCTAAGAAGTCTTCAGAAACTTTTAAAAAGGCAGTTAGTTTATTCCCTCTTATTTTATTAGATCACTATCATACCAGAGCATACTTGTTTTTCCTTCTCCCACTAGACTCTAAACTTTTTAAGAATAATAACCATTTTAACTTTGTATTCTGAATATTTATAACAGAGCCTGGCATGTGTGTTTTTTATATGTATACGTGTATACATATGTATATGCAAATATACACAGATATGTATATATACACGTATGCTACTTATAATAAGCATTAAATAAACATTTGAGGAAGGAGATATTTTAAAACATAAAAGTTTTACATTTTGCCTATTCTGGACATTTCATATAAAGGGAATCATACAATATGTAGCCTTTTGTGTCTGGCCTCTTTCACTTAGCATAATGTTTTCAAGGTTCATCCATGTCGTAGCATGAATCAGTACTTCATTGCAGAAAATCAAATAATCACATAAATAAATACAAAATTTCAACTGTAATATGCTATAAATGAGAGGTGTGTGGTGTTGTGAGAACCTATTTTGGACAATTTTAACTTATCTGGTGAGCTTAGAGAAGACTTCCTTGAGGAAGTGACAACTGAGTTGAACTCCAAAGGATGAAAACAAGTTAAATAAAAGGAGAAAGGAAGATTGTTCCCTAAAAAGGCAACAGCTTATGAAAAGGAAGACTGTCAAACAGGCAGCTTCATCAAAAGTGTGAAACTCAAGAGAAATAAATTTATAGGCCATCTATAGTGACCATTAAAACCCTAACTGTGGATGAGACCACTCAGAGAGAGAGGGAGAAGAAAAGAAGACCTATGAAAAAGCCTTGAGAAACTCCAACAACATTTAATGGTCATATATAGAAGAAGAGCTACAGGGCCGGCCTGGTGGTGTAGTGGTTAGGTTTGAACATTCTGCTCCAGCGGCCCAGGGTTCGCCAGTTCAGATCCTGGGCGCGGACCTACTCACTGCTCATCAGGCCATGCTGGGGTGGCGTCCCACATAGAAGAACTAGAAGGACCTACAACTAGGATATATAACTATGTACTGGGTCTTTGGGGAGAAAAAAGAAAAAGAAGAAGATTGGCAACAGATATTAGCTCAGGGCCAATCTTCCTCGAAGAAGAAGAAGAAGAAGAAGACAAAGAAGAAGAAGAAGAGCTAAAGGAATATAAGAAGCAGCTAAGGAGATGGGAAGAAAACTAGGATTATATGGTATCATGGAAGCCAAAGGATGAGAATATTCCGAGGAGGAAAGAATGGTCAAGAGTCAAAAGTAGCTGAGTCATCAACTATGTTGAAAGTATTTTCACCTCCAGATGGAGGCCCCAAAGGTGATTCTGTAATGTTCCATGTCATCTGAGGTGACAGAACAGGTACCAGTCCAGCTTCACACACTGGGGGAACACATGTATGAGAATATGCCTTCTACATGTCTGAATGTGTTCGCGGATATGTTTGTGTGTATGTGTATATCTGTGTTGTCTATATGCCTGCGTGTGTGTTCATCTGTGTGTTTACAGATAATCAAGCACTGAGTGTTATATCCGTGCAATTTCACATTGCCTTACATTTCTAATGCTAAATACCAGCTTTATTTTATTACTTCAAATTCTGTAATTATTAATATCTGGCATCTTAAAAATGTAACAAAGGACTGTTTATTTAATAACTGTTAATTACACATATATCATATTACCATATTCAGGAAAAAGAATCTAGAAGAAAATACACCAAATTGTTAAACTCTGGGAATAGGACTAAGAGGACTAGGGTTTTTTGAGTTATACACTTTCACATATAGTTGCATGTTTTTTTTACAACAACCCTACATTCCTTTTGTAACAAAATAAAGATTTTAAAATGTGTCATTGGGTATCTAACAATCAGTATCTAACATTGAGTACCTAACAGTCATTATAGAAATTAAATGATGGTATAGGATGCTTTGGGTTTTCTTTGTGGGCAGTAGGAGAGAGGAAGGTGGAAAAGTAAAAATATCACTGACCTCCCCAATCGATTTTTTCTCTAAATCTTCACCATTAACATCTTCTCAGTTATCCAGCTTTTTCTTAATTTTACATGCATTCTCAATGCCTCCTTTTCCCTTATTGCCCATATTTAAGAATTCACCATGTCCTATCAATTTTACCTCAAAACAATGCAACCATCTATTTTCTCTTTTTTATTTCCATAATTATTACTCCAGCTCAGTGATTTTCAAACTTTTTTAAATAACAGAATTCTTTTTTCCCCTAAAATATCTGACATGTAATCATTATATTTAAATCAAATAACAACTATTTTTATACCCAATGAATCTGAAATCAACAATCCAAAAAGGCTTATGCACCCCTATGTTCATCGCAGCATTATTCACTACAGCCAAGACATGGAAGCAACCCAAGTGTCCCTCGACTGATGAATGGATAAAGATGTGGTATATATACACCATGGAATACTACTCAGCCATAAAAAAAAGACAAAATCATCCCATTTGCAACAACACAGATGGACCTGGAGGGTATTATGCTAAGCGAAATAAGCCAGAAAGAGAAAGAGAAACACTGCATGATTTCACTCATATGTGGAAGATAAACCAACACATGGACAGATAGAACTGTTTGGTGGTTACCAGGGGCAAAGGGGGTGGGACATGGGCAAAGGGGAGGAGGGATGAATTTATATGGTGACTGACAAACAATAATGTACAACAAAAATTTCACAATAAAAAAACCTACTATTTTTATAAATGTAATTTTTACAATAAATTTTACTTATTCTAACATCAATAAATGACAATGAGACTGTTTTAAGAAACACAAAATTTGAAATTGGGAGTTAAGGATGACAGCTAAACCTTACATCAACCCACTATTTACGTTTATATCTCTTACACAGTATTAAGAAAATCCTATTCACACACCTAAATAGTTGCAAACGGTAACTTTTTTAAACTGTCATTTTGATGTTTAAGGAAACTCTTCAGTTAACCAGCAGTGACAAGAGAACCCTGATTCTATGGTCTGCACAAAAAATTCTCTCGCCTCACTAACTCCACCTCAGAAATTCCTGCTCCTTTTTAGAGCTCAGCCCAAACCCCACCAATCTGCTAAATGTCACTTCCACCTCTAACCATGCTAAAGAATTCTGTACTTCAAAATATTTAATCACGTCTAGACTAAGTTGTACAATAAAAGGGATTTTTTTAAGTAGTCCCTGTGAAATCTAATACAGAGATTGACTAATAAATGAGATGACTATTTAAAATTACCCAATGAGTGATAGAAATCTTCTAAAATTGGATTACGATGATGGTTGCCTAACTCAGTAAATTAACTAAATATCACTGAATTGAGCACTTAAAATGGGTAAATTTTTATATGCCTTCAATAAAGTTGTTTTTTAAAAAAAGAACCCACAAAAAGTATGAAAGAGGTTACCGGGGACTATAGCAAGGAATGGGAAGTTACTGCTTAGTAGGTACAGAGTTTGTGTGTGGGATGATGAAAAATTTCTGGAAATGAATAGTGGTGATAGTTGCACAATGTTGTAAATGTACTTAATGCCACTGAAATGTACATTTAAAAATGGTTAAAATGGTAATTTTATATTATGTATATTTTACCACAATAAAAAAATGAGGTTGGTTTTAGACATGTAGAGTTTGAGATACCTGTGGGACAGTGAGGGAGATGTCTGGAAGAATCTAAATCTCAGAAAAGAGGGCAAAATGGGAGAATGATTTGAGGATACTAAACCACACACAACTTTGAATTTTAGGGACTAACCCAGTACCTAATATGCAGTGGGTGCTCCAAAAATACTGTCAATTGAATATTAAAAAAAAAAAAAGAATCCAATGAATTTTCTTAAAAATACAGAAAATTACATTTCTTCATTGGTTGACAATAATTCATCTTATGGATCTGTTAAGTACTATATTAAGCAAGCTATCATTATATTTCTCCATTCTGTGGACTTCTCAGTACTTTATATACGGAAAAAAGAGAAGCACTTTCTATGTGTTGGTCTATTTTCACTTTAATAAGTATCACAATAAATCAAGACTTAGAGTCTTCTCTCTTTATATGTAACAGGTAATACCCACCCGAATAGTTACTGTGTGATTGGCAGATGGTCTCAATGGAGGCAGCCGGATCCCACACCTAGGCATTCTTCTCATCTCCTCAATAGGCGTTCCAAGCCACTTCTTATCTGGAGAAAGGTGAGGTGGAATGTATTTAGGGATCTTCCTTTCTGTTCTTTGATGTTTGATTTCACATTGTTCTTTTCTAAGGTCAAAACAAACGTATTCAGTCACAAACCACTTACTGTTTAAATTCACTTGGATACACAAGTACAAAACTTACCCAGAACGTTATTGTTTAAAATGTGCCAAGCTTGTTCTCTCTCCTTGGTATTTACAGGAGAAAAAAAAGCCAAAAAAACTTATAAAGCTTATAGTAAAACCCAAGAGCTTATTTTCAACAGTCTGGAAGGAATTGCCAAACACACCTAAATCACCTTCCATGCATGACCACGGACACTGCCAAAGGCGTCATGGTTCACAGTATCAGCTACTTCTCAGGACTCTAGACAGTAATTTTCAGTGAAGTGAACTTACTATAGCATGTTTGGTAGATAAGACCACAGAAATTATGGAGAGCGGGCTTTAAGATTCCACATGGGATAATTGCAAAAATGTAATTTTTAATTTTTTTTTGTAATCACAGGCTAAGATTTAAATCCTAGCATCACCACTCATAAGTTACATAATTTCACTGAATTCGCTAACCCAAGTCTCAGTTTTCCCATTTGTGAAGTGAGTACTATCCACCTGCCCGTCAGAGGATTAGAGACAATGCAGTATACAATGGCCTAGGGAAAACGGCTAAACAGTGGCTACTATCAATCTAATATTTTTATGTTGTGATAAGTCCCATAAATTTCAGAAAGAAGTGCATGAAACTAAAAATCTGATTAACAATATTTATTTACTTCTTGTTTTCTGTTTCTGGCCTTTTTAGAATTTAAAATTTGGAGTCTAGGTTTAAATTTAGCATAAATAGTTAACAAGAAAGACAACTATTTCTTTGCTTCAGTGTAAACCACAACTTTGCTAAACCCCCCTTACAAAATTATAAAACATATTACTCTATGGGAGATACTCCTGATGGAAAAAATTACCTTTTGTCCTCTGCTTTGGGCAGTCTCATGAAATGATCTGTGATTTTAGAATCCTTTTTTCCATGTTGTTTGGAATTTCTGCATTCTACATTCAAGCTAGAAGTACTCCCAGGTAGTTTGGCATTTAAATCACTCATTCCTGTGCGACTCTCTCCTCCTTCAAATTGGAAATGTAATCGAATTTCACCTCCCTTAACAGATGACCGTTTCCTCAACTCAGTGTCTGTTTCTCTTGCTTGGAAACTTGAAGATTTATTTGCTGTTTGGGAGGAACTGCTATCTTCTTGTTCATCAAAACCTGGACTTGTCTCTTCATCTGCTTCTGAATCCTGACAACTATTTTTGGAATTATCTACATCCATTGGTGACTCGGGTTCACTTTCTTTCTCAAATGGAGGAGAATTCCCTAGGCTACTTTCTTGTCTACTCAATTTGTTGGCATTTTTCAGTCCAGTACTGACATCCTCAGAGCCGATGTCTGACAAGGGACTCTCTGGCACCACGTCTACCTCTTCCTGCTGACAACCTGCATAGTCTTCCACAGGATGGCAAGACTTGTTGCACTTCTGGTGACTTCTGGCTTCTCTGGCCTGTTCATCTTCTGTAGTCTGCTTTGTATTTGCAAGCTTTACAGGTGTCAAAAATTGTTGATTATCCCTACTTTCCTCACTGTCTGTGTCACTGTGACCACCATTTTGGGGTGACTGATCAACGTTAGCATTACTAAACTGCTCTGGTACTAGAGTTACTGTTGGACATTCACTTTCCAAAAGCCGCTCTGTATGTTTCCCTTCATTTTGCCACTTACACGTAGCTGCACTCTGATGTTGGTTCAAATATTGTGTATTTTTCTCAACTGGTGATTTATCAAGACTCAGCTGAGAAACATTTTCTAATTTTTCCATGTTATGTTGATAAAAGTTATCTTTCTGTACAGAACTCATCATGGATTCTACTCTTGTATTGTTGTTTTCTTTACTATGCAAACTACAAGAGAATAGAAAGAACTAATGATATAAAAGAACTTATGACACAATAGAAAGAACTTATGATGCAAGAAAACACTTACCCAACCACACTCCCACCATGTCCCAGCAATAACTAAGCTACCTGTGATTACCTGAGCATACAATATGCCCTTGCATGACTCCATGTCTTTGCACCTATGCCCATAACACCCTGTCTGCAAATGTGTGCCTCACAAACACTTGCCAAAGTGAAGTGTTAAACTTCACTCACTTCCTGTGCAGTCTTTCCTGCAAAGGTAAAGCTGATTGTTTGTTCTATATGCTAACCACCACTGTATCTTGTTTATACCTTTACTGTTGCATATATCACACTATGTAACAATCATGTGTTTTTGTGACTGTTACCACCACTATACTATAAGTATCTTAAAGACAGAGACTATTCCTCATTCACCTCTGTACCTCAAGTATATATGACAGTCCCTGGTACATAGAAGACTTTAAAAAACTATTATTTACAAACTGAAAGAATATACGTAGATATGGGAAAGCAAGAAGAGAAAAATAGCATGAAGCAAGATAAAACATCCATATATCATATTGTTCATTTCCCTATATAGGCATGTTTCTGTACCTTTCTGATTCAGTTGTCTTGATTCCTTTAGTGTCCATCCAACTGGTAATAGTCTTTTGTTTGAAAACTTTAAAAGGAAAAAACAAAGAAACATAAACATTAATATAGATGCATACATGCCTTCAAAGAGAAAATACCTATAGCAGCATATATATATGTAAGGCATTGTGCTAGGTTCTGTGGGTTAAACAAGGATTAATCTCTCCTTCCACACTCAAGCAATGGGAGATAATACAGGTACATAAACACAAATACATTTGGCATAGAGTAGAAACTGAACAGCCCCTAAAAGAGTTAGTATGGCCTAATGGATGAGAGTATAGGCTCTGCAATCAGACCACCTGGATTCACATCCTCAATCTCCCACTGGATTCTTATGTGACTTTGTGAGGGGTCATTTCTCTGTGTCTCAGATTCTTTATCTATAAAAATGCAAACTAATAGTATCTCTCCTGGGGTTACTGTGAGGTTTAAATTAAATAAAAGAATTATTCATGGAAGTGTTTAGGGCACTATCTGGTATATGCTCAGTAAATGTTAGTTCTTAATTATCTTTAGTATTAAAAGAGATCCTGACAAGGAATCAAGGTATTTCTGAGAAGACTACCTTAGTGAAGTGGAGTAAGTGGGATAATGTGATAAGCAGTGATTGAATTGTGCTTTGAAGAACAAACATGTAGTCACATAATGGGAAAATCAGAAGCAAAGGCACCAATGGCAGGGGAAAAAAAAGAACTTAAAAAGTAAGGAACAGAAAATATGGTTGAAAAGTCAGCTAGGACCATATCATAGAGGTCCTTGAATGACCCACAAAAAGAGGTACAAACAAGTGTCAGAAGTCACACTCAGAGGTGTAATTCCAGAATTCAAATCTAGGAGGCTTCCAGTCATGTAAGATACACAGCCTGGAGGGCCAATCTGAAGGGTCAAGAAGGAAGAACCTGTTGGTAGAAATCAGTGAGGAAGCTATTGGTCTAGGTCAGTAGTTCCCAAACCATCTGAATCCTCAGGAAGCTGGTAATAAATGGATCCCAAGGCCACGCCCAGACCTAGTGAATCAGAATCTACACGTGTGATGATGGAGGTATGAGGGGAGGTGGAATGTGTATTTTTTTCAAAAAGTGATTCTGATGATCAACTAGGTTGGAGAATTATTGGCCAAGGACCAAAACTAGTCCTTGTAAGAAAAGAGAATAAAAGTTGAGAAGTGAGAGTCATTACAGACTTCACAATGATAGAAGTTAAAGGTGAACACTAAGCTTTAAGTTTGAGAGACTTGAAAGATGGTGACAGCATTAAATAGAAATGTGGAATATAAGATAATTGGATTTAGGGGAAAAAATATGATTAGGTTGATTCTGAACATACTAAATTTGAAATGCCAAAGAGATAACCTGATAGAAAGGACCAGCAGACAGTAGCAAAAGTAGAATTGATGGCTTAGTAGAAGGAGATGCAAAATAAATAAATGGAAGTCACAATTTATATAAGCATTTGAAATAACATGCTTTCAAAATTTAATGTACTGCATATGGGTTAAATGTATACATTATTTTAGTATAAGAAAATATACAATCTTGAACATTCTCAACTACTGTCTAAATTGCAATGTAAGAATCTACGCACCTTAAGTCACAGACTCATTCTTCACCTATGTCCCCTCAAACACCATAATATGAGCAAAACGGATACTATCCGAAATATATGAAAATCAACAGTTTATTTATCACTGTATTTGAGTGCCATATAATTTATACCTTCCACAAAATACTAACATTCCAACTAGTAAAAATCTTTGATTAGCATTTTTAAAACAGTTTCTATCACAAAATGTAATTATATATATTTGATATTTCTTGTTAAATACCAATACTTTAGTGATTTTATTAAGTTAGTCTTCTACAGCAAATAAGGCTTCAAAGAAAAAATTAGTTTCAGTCAGAAGGAAGTAAGGATGAACCACTTGATTCTGAGGCTTTTCTATAATTGCAACTTCTCTATTTAATTTCATTGTATCAAACACAACAAGTATAGAAAAATCCTCAAATTACAAACAATGAGCCAAAAATTCATCTTGTGACTCAGAGTAGAATTTAAAACACCTTTTTCTATAAATGTAAGGATTTAATGATACGCAATGGCTAGGTTCCTATAAGACACATGAAGCATAGCACTATGATGACAAGTCCGCGGGAACTTAAAGACTGCACACAACATGATTTCACGAAAAACTATGAGGAGTGTTCCAGTGCAGTTGATTGACGGAGAGGGCTCTCTCCTGCAGCTCTGATACTGAAAATGCATTCTCACTCTAGCTTCAGGCTTCCTATTATAATTCCTGAAGCCTGAGAACAGGAAGAAGGAGAAGGAGGAGGTGAGGAACCAACACTTCCTGCTTTTTTTTTTTTTAAAGATTTTATTTATTTATTTATCCCCCCCACCCCCCAAAGCCCCAGTAGATAGTTGTATGTCATAGCTGTACATCCTTCTAGTTGCTGTATATGGGACACGGCCTCAGCATGGCCAGAGAAGCGGTGCGTCGGTGCGCGCCCGGGATCCGAACCCGGGCTGCCAGCAGCTGAGCGTGCGCACTTAACCGCTAAGCCACGGGGTTAATAACATTCCTCAGTCCTTCAGAGGGCCCCAGAGAAAAGACTGCCTACTTCTCTTTCCAATACCACTACTTCTGGTTTCCAACGGTTTCTTTCGCAGCACATCACAGGACTGTTTCAGAGTTTTACCCCCCTTATTCCTTTTTTTTTTGTGAGAAAGATCAGCCCTGTGCTAACATCTGTCAATCCTCCTCTTTTTTTGCTGAGGAAGACTGGCCCTGGGCTAACATCTGTGCCTCATCTTCCTCCACTTTATATGGGACGCCACCACAGCATGGCTTGCCAAGCAGTGCCTCGGTGCACGCCCGGGATCCGAACCAGCGAACCCCGGGCCACCGCAGCAGAACGCGCGTGCTTAACCTCTTGCACCACCGGGCTGGCCCCTACCCCTCTTATTCCTGAAGGAAGCGTAAAATGATGTTTCCCAGGTCTCCTGGGAATTTCTTTCTTTTTAACTAGAAATAATCACAGCAAACAAAAAGGGAGGCAAGAGGAAGTGATGAAAAAGATACAAGATTTGGAATCAAACAAGATCTTGGACTGAGATCTTTGCTCAATCACTTACCAGTGCTTCATTTCTCTGAACCTCTATTTCCTCACCCATAAAATGGGGTTAACAATACCTATTTCAAGGCTTATGTAGATCAGTGAGAGAAAATATTAAGTGTCCAGTATTACAAAGCAGAAACTCAACAAATGTATTATCTCCTAACACTTCTACTCAGTCTTTTTTCACTGAGATCAGTAGTTCTCCAACTTTGTTCTGATGTCACACCATTTACACATAATCTCATCAGTAACATCACTCAGTAACCAGCGTATTTCAATAAGCAAATCATGTAATTAGGTGCTATAGATACAGGCAGAAGACACAAAATGCACTAAAATTCACCTGCATTTCAAAGGAACACCCCACCTCCGCAAAAAGTCTCTCTCCTCCAGCAGCAACAAGATGAGGTTTGGAAAGGAAGGGTGTGGTGAGACCAAAGAGCAACAGATAGTAGGAGAGTTTTGAGATGAGGAAAGAGGTCTCAAGATGCTTTTGACAGCACTGAGGCTGAAAGAATGATAAGGGGAGATGGTGGTCAAGCCAGCTCCAGTCCCCCCACCCACCCACTACTGACCTACACTCAGATCATCCCTGGAGTAGGGAGAGAAACTCAAGATAGGCAGAAAAGGGGAGCTCCTATAGCAACACAACTGGATAAACCATTTCCCATCAGAATGTGAATAGCTTGCTGAGTTCTGCCTATAGGCAGATTTGCAAATTTCAATCAATATAAGAAATAGGCCCAGGAAGATAAACAACAAAATTTAAAGATACTGAATAAATATCAATTTCCCTCTCACCTACTTCTTCTAGGATAACTATATATAAAAAAAATTTTAAATACCAAGTTCTTAAAAGAATTCCAAAATTTGAAACAATAGTTCTTGGTACAAATTTGGACTTTGAACATTTTGTTAATTGGTGTCCTGTGCCAGGTATGTCAACAGAAAACATTTACACACATAAAGTACAGCCAAGTATTAATTTGGTTCCTCTTCTGCAGAAACTCTTTCTGCAGAAAATCAGAAGATCCAACCAGTGAGGACTGCCCCCCACCACCTGCAACCAACTCCTCCTTTATATGCAAATAAACTCAGTAAGACCACAAATTAGCCTGTCACAGAAGTCAGATACAGTACTTGGAGGCCACCCTCAGTTTCCCCTCCCCTCCACTCTCCTTCACCAAGTCTTCTGAAATTACATCCTAAATTTTAAACCCATCGCTTCCTCTCATCTTCAAAATAGCACTAACATTAAAAGAACAGGTACATCACTAACTGACAACTACATTTGTTTTCCTGTAACTGGTCTCCTTGTCTACAGTCTTGACTTTCTCTAAACCAGTGTTTTACAAACTACAAATGACCAACATTTGTTAATGAAATAATACAGACCACATAAGAATGTGTTATATATAGTAAGGATAAGTGTTATTTCATGAAATATTTGTTCGTTTTAAATATGCCATATTTACCAGGTTACATATATTTCTTACTGTGTATCAGGTGAAATTTATACTGTGGGTTGCAGTCAGAAAAGTCCAAAGGCCACTGCCTAAGCCATATTTTCTAAAATAGTAACTAAATGATGTCTCTCTTCTTAAAAGCTTTTTAGTCACTCCCCATTAACCACAGAATAAAGTCCAAACTCCTTGAAATGACACTCAAGTTTGTCCATGATAAGCTCTTGCTCCCCTTCTCAGCCTCATTTGACACTCCTATCATTCTTTGGTCCATTCCTACCACTTTTTGCACATGCCGTTCCCTCTGCCCATATAATTCTTTCTCTCCTTGGTTGATACAGCAAATCCTGCTCATCCTTCAATACTTAGTTCAGATCTGCTCCCCACTGCTTCTAGGTCCTGAGAGAACTAAGTGTACACCATTCATCAGAGGACTGCCTGACCTCCTCCCAGCCTCTTATACTGTTGTCCAATGCATGCTTTTTGAAATGCTCTCTTCCCTGCATGACACAATGAAAGCCAGGCTTTCCTCGTACTTCTCTGGCTGCTTCTCTTCAGTTTACTCTTAAATGGTGGTATTCCTAAAGTTTCTGTCCTAGGTCGCCTTTATTTCCTCTACATGCTTTATATGATCCAATCTACTTCCATAGCATCATTTATCATGTTCATGCCAAGAATTCCCAAATCTATACTTCCAGCACAGATATATTTCTTATTGGGTACAAACCCATGTATCCCATTCTCTCCTGAATACATCCACTTCTCCCCTTCCCTACTGCCTGCAACCAAGTATAAACCATCATTATCTCCTAGAATAACTCCTTGCCTTGGGCCTGTATCTCTGCTCCTCTTCAATCCTTTCTTCATTTTCCACACACCAATCACAGGGTCCTTAAAAATATGTATTTATATATGATAAAATGACTTCCCCACTGAAAACCCTTTAATAGCTTCTCATTCCCTTCAAGTTCAAAACCCTTAGCCTACATGTCCCAGTATAATCTATCTTTGCCCACCTCTCTGGAACCCTCTCTCTTACTACTCTCCCCCGTTGACAGTATGCATCAGCTGCAATCGGAACCATTTCCTTACTTCCTCTTCTTCTAGCTAACCCATCACTCTTCGGTCCTCAGAATAAGCAACTCATCTTCTGGGAAATTATCTTTAATCCCACACCCTGGATGAGATACTCCTGACTTCTACCATAAAGATGTGTCCCTCATCTATCAGAACATCCACTACCCTTTATTATGTTGACTTCTGTAACTGTCCTTCTCCTGATAGATTTCAGGGTCTGAAGACAAAGGCCAAGTTACTCCTGTTCAACACTGCATGCCAGAAATAAGTACAATGCCAGCTAAGACTAACAGCTCTGCACCCAGGGACCTAGAATCTGAACTGTGGGAAGTTGTGATTTTCCTTGTAGCTTTCTTTCCATTTAGAGGCTAAAGCTTCACATAGAAAATCAGACCTCCTTAACGACTAAGGCAATTTCTCAGTCAAACCCGAGGAAGGCAAACAGGTGGAGTCTCCTGCCATTTTCTGCCCTGTGAGTGACTGCTCGTCATGGTTTCTCACACCAATCGCAACGGGAAAAATATGGTGCCATGCCCCCACTAGTATCCTTCGGGGCTCAGAAAAGGGACCTCAGAGTGGAACACACAAGACCAGAAAGGGGTGATAGAGTCCCTGGTCCTCAGACAAAGATCAAGAAGAGGTTTGGGCCGAGGCGAACGACAAAGATCTTTATTTCCCCACGTACCAAGCGAGGTGGCGCTGCCTCTGTGCGGTCCCGCCCGCCCCGGGACGCAGCCTGACGAGGACGGTGGGGCCCTGAACTGCACGGGAGCGTCCTTGGGATCGAGGACGCGCCTCTGCCTGCCAGGGAAGCTCCGGGCGTCCAATGCGGCCGGCGGAGAAGTTGCAGCGGTGACCCAGCGGGGTCGCTTGGTGCAGGGCTCACAGCCGGGGCCCGCACTCATGCTGGGACCCGCAGCGCACAGTCCCCGGGCCGGCCCGGGCGGAGAGCCTCATTCACTAACCCTGAGAGGGACGGACTGTGCCTCCTTCTCGGCGCCTCCCGGCACCATCCCCACTCTGTCGCCGCTTGCTTCTGTAGTTGCTGCTCCGCCGGCCTCCTGAGCCAGGCCCTAGCCAGTCGCCTGCCTTCCCTCTTCTGCTGACACCGCACCTGCCTCAGGATACGCCGCTTTGATTTTGGCTTCGTTCACTTTCCCACCGCCGGAAAGCTGCCGTCAGGCGCTTCCGGCTTCCGGGGCGCACACTGTCGCAAAGCGGAAGTGTGAGACAGCGGGCGCCGGCGCCCAGAAGGTCAGCGCGTGAACAAGGTGGTAGTAACGCGGGTGTACCCGCGGTTGCTGAGGAGCTACGGGCGAGTAGACGACCCCGGCCTGAACTGGCGGTGAGAAGCAGACGGGCAGTTTGCTGCGACACCATGGAGGGCGGCGGGGGAAGCGGCAACAAAACGACAGGGGGGTTGGCCGGCTTTTTCGGAGCCGGCGGAGCAGGCTACTCGCACGCGGATTTGGCCGGCGTCCCGCGTAAGTATCGGGCCTAGCTTGCGAACATTTCTTGCGACCACGCTAGACTTGCGGCGTGCCCTGGGTTTTTTTGCTGGGGTTCCCAAGCTTCAGTGCCAGTGGTGGGGTTAGTGTGTCTGCGTGGCCACTCTGTCAAGATCGAACAAGTTTTTGGAGCCATGGATCCCGGACAAACTCTCTGGTTGACTTGGGCTCAGGAGGTGTTGCTTGTTTTCTTCCTTTTGTATCCAAGCCTCGAGCCTTATCTTTTCTCTCTCACATTCCTGTGTGTTGGGCTGTGTGTTTGGCCCTACGTTAAGAGGAGAGCCCAGCTCTGCAAGTAAATGCATTCCAAATAACGAGCTCCTAGATAACTTTTTAGCACAAAGTCATATTCTAAACCACAAAGTAGCCGTCAGGGCAAAACAGTAATAATGCATATAGGTGAGAAAGAAATATGAGACATATGGGACAGCTGGAGAAGCTGGGAAGTGAGCTGAGTTTAAATAAAAGCCATTTATAGACACGAAGAAAGAAGTCAGGTAAGAATTTTAGGAAAGGAAGTATGCAAGATCGAAGGTGCAGAAGCATGAATACCCTGCCTGTGCCCTCTCCTCAATCCTATGAACAAATGTGTATTCCAGATTTTTGGGACTTTGTAACTGTGGATATTCAACTGGATAAATAGAACTTGGACTTAAAGATAGTAGGAAGTTAGTGGAAGATAAGCGCTTTATAAGACAGTTTTCTTTTTTGAAAATTCTTGTACTGTTTCTCTAGGTCTTTTATGCTCAAGAACAAAAAAGCCCTTTTAAGTTCCTAGTGTCACCTGTGTCAAAACTGAATGTAGATAAAAAGATAACTGCTGTTTTCATGGAGCTTACATCCTATTGAAGTGAGCCAAGTAACATAAGTAAAAACATTTCAGTTAGTGTTAACTGTGTAAAGGCAATAAAACAATTATAAGATGGTGATGGGAGCAGGTAGCCATTTTAGAACTGGTCAGGGAACACAATTCAGGGGTGTTGACATTTGACCTGTGACTTGAATAAAATACATGTGTTTGGGGGGAGGCAAATGTACCAGGGAAAATGGCTAGTATAATTACCCTGGGAAAAAACAAGCTTAGCATGTTTGAGAAACAGCTGTTAGGTCAGTGTGTCTACAAAGTTACAGGGGAGTTGGAATGGTAGGAGACAGAGATCAGAGGGGCAAGGAATGGCAGCTAATGTAGTGTTTTGTAAGCCATGGTAAAGAGTTTGGATTTGATTACAAGTGTAAATGTAAGTGATTTCCTTTTCTTAAAAAATCGCTAGTTGCTATGTAGAAAGTGAATTGAAAGGACTAGAGCAAGTAAGGAGTCCATTTAGGTAGAAGATTGTTACTGTAGCCTAGGTGATAAATTTGATGGTTGAACTCGGATGGTAGCAATAAAGATGGCGATAAGTAACACAATTCACGATAGGTATTGAATATAAAACTAATAGGATTTTCAATTGATGAGAAGACCAGAGTCACGGGTAATGGATAGATTTGTGAACAAGCAGCTGAGATATGGAAGAATCTAAAGGTTAAATTTAATAAATGAGAAAGTTGATCTTTTTTGGTAGATTTTTCTGTCTTCAAAGTCAGTGGAGTTCAGAGTCTGGCCCTCTGAGAGTTTCCATTTTCTTTTGCCCTGGCCCCCATGCCTCTGGTGATGACCCGAGAATTCTCTACCTTGCCACAGTAAGTCAACTCTGTCGGCAGTTGTCAACACTAAGATCTGAAGGAACTGCCTTAAAATATTTGTACACAACACATAGCCCAAACATTGTTTTTCCCATGGAATTAATTGGTGTCTTGTCAGTGTTATTTTGTAGTTTGTATAGTTGTCAAGCATTCTGGTAGCAAAGTAGAAAGATAGTAGCTTTACAATTGACCTGGGCTGTGTGTCTCGCTACTTTGATTATTTGATCCATGTTACTGCCAATATCTTCTTGGTATGAGAGCCTGAGGAAGGCCCCAGAAGGAGGTAGCCCCAAAAACTGCCAGACAAGGAGGATAAGCATAGAAAAGTGGGAGATAATTTCACATTCAGTGAGCCTGTAAGTCAAAATTGCAAAATACGTGAACCAATCAAGAGCAGAATTAACACTAAATGAAATAACTGTTTAAAATTTTGTTGCAATATGATGCTTTGTTTTCTCTCTAGTAACTGGTATGAACCCTCTGTCTCCTTATTTAAATGTGGATCCACGATATCTCGTGCAGGTAAGATTAAGACTAGTCCTTTTATGGTTTTACTGGTTTGATGCTTTAGTTCACCATTTAAAAAAATAATGCCAAGTACTTCTGCTGACTTGATCTATGATATTTACTTCTGGAGGCACCAAGTCTCTGGTCTCCATTCCCCCTTTTTTCTTGGAAACCCTGGAGATTTGGCTTGCATCTCTTCCTGACACTAGTTGATTAATTCCCTTTAAAGAGTTTTGGAGTTTGTTTTTTGTTTTCCCATTGTTTAAAATTGTGGCATAATATACTAACATAAAATTTACCATCTTAACCTTTTTTAAGTGGACAGTTCAGTGGTATTAATACATTCATAATATTGTACAACCATTACCACCTACCATCTCCATAATGCTTTTCATCTTGTAAAACTGCAACTGTACCCATTAAACAAAAACTCCTTGTTCCGCCTTCCCCCCGTCCACTGGCAACCACTCTTCTGCTTTTTGGCTCTGATTTTTGAATACTCTAAGTACCTCAAATAAGTGGAATCCAACAGATTTGTCTTTTTGTGGCTAGCTTATTTCATTTAGCACAATATCCTCAAGGTTCATCTATATTGTAGCGTGTGTCAGAATTTCCTTCCTTTGTAAGGCTGGATGATATTTTATTGAATAATATTAAACTTTCCTTATCCATTCATCTGTCGATGGACACTTGGATTGCTTCCATGTTTTAGCTACTGTCAGTAGTGCTGTTGTGAACATTGGTGTACAAATATCTCTTCCAGATTCTCCTTTCAGTTCTTTTGGTTATATATCCGGAAGTGGAACTGCTATATCATATAGTAATTTTCTTTTTAATTTTCTGAGGAACTGCCATACTGTTTTCCACAGCAGCTGTACCATTTTACATTCCCACCATCAGTGCACAAGGGTTCCAGTTTCTCCACATTCTCATCAACACTTTATTTTCTGGGGTTTTTTGATAATAGCTATTCTGTGGGTGTGAGGTGGTGACTCATTGTAATTTTGATTTGCATTTCCCTAATGATTAGTGATTTTGAGCATCTTTTCATGTCCTTTTTGGCCATTTGTATATCTTTGGAGAAATGTCTATTCCCCTTTGTCCATTTTTGAATCAGGTCATTTTTGTTGTTGAGTTTTAGGAGTTCTCTATATATTCTGAATATTAACCCCTTATCAGATAAATGATATTCTCCCATTCTGTGGGTTGCCTTTTTACTCCATTGATCCTGTCTTTTGATGCACAAAATTTAAATTTTCATGAATGCCAATTTTTCTATTTTTTCTTTTGTTACCTGTGCCCTTGGTGTCATATCCAAGATATCATTGCCAAATACAATGTTATGAAGCTTTTCCCCGATGTTTTCGTCTAAGAGTTTTATAATTTTAGGTGTTACATTTAGATCTTTGATCCATTTTGAGTTAATTTTTGTATACAGTGTTAGGTAACGGTTCAGCTTCACTCTTTTTTTTTTTTTTTTTTTTTGAGGAAGACTGACCCTGGGCTAACATCCGTGCCCATCTTCCTCCACTTTATATGGGCCACCGCCACAGCGTGGCTAACAAGCAGTGCGTCGGTGCACACCTGGGATCCGAACCAGCGAACCCTGGGCCGCCGCAGCGGAGTGTGCACACCCAACCACTTGTGCCGCCAGGCCGGCCCCTCAGCTTCACTCTTTTTCATGTGGATATCCAGTTTTCACAGCACCATTTGTTGAAAAGACTATCTTTTCCCCCAAAAAGATAGTCCAAAATCATTTGACAATATATATGGGATTTTATTTCTGGGCTCTCTATTCTATTTCATTGAGGTTCCATATGAATTTTAGGATGGGTTTTTCTATTTCTGCAAGAATACCTGTATTTTGATAGGGATTGTGTTGAATCTGCAGACTGCTTTGTGTAGTATTGACATCTTAATATTTTTCAATCCATGAACATGAGATATGTTTCCATTTATTTGGTCTTTAATTCTTTCAGCAAGTTTTGTAATTTTCACTGTACAAGACTTTTACCTCCTTTCTTAATATTAAGTTAATTCCTAAGTATTTTATTCTTTTTGATTATGTTGTAAATGGGACTGTTTTTATAATTTCCTTTTCAGGTTGTTCATTGTTGGTATGTAGAAATGCATCTGATTTTTTGTGTTGACTTTGTATCCTGCTACTTTGCGGAATTCATTTATTAGTTTTAACAGATATTTTTGTGCAGTCTTTAGGATTTTCTACATACAAGATAATATCATCTATGAAGAAAGAATTACTTCTTCCCTTCCAATTTGGCTGCCTTTTATTTCTCCTTGCCTAATTGCTCTGGTTAGAACATCTAGTATTGCATTGAATAGAAGTGGCAAAAATGGGCATCCTTGCCTTGTTCCTGATCTTAGAGGAAAAGCTTTCAGTCTTTCACCTTTGAGTGTGATGTTTGCTCTGGCTTTTTCATATAGGACTTTTATTATGTTGAGGTAGTTTCTTTCTACTCTTAGTTTGTTGAGTGTTTTTATCATGAAAGTATGTTGGATTTTGTCAAATGTTTTTGCTGTATCAATTGAGGTGATCGTGTGTGTGCTTTTTCCTTCATTCTGTTAACATAGTGTATTACATTGATCAATTTTTGTATGTCGGACCATCCTGCATTCCAGGAATAAATCTCACTTGGTTATGGAGTGGAATCCTTTTAATATGCTGCTGAATTCAGTTTTCTAGTACTTTGTTGAAGATTTTGCATCAGTGTTCATAAGGGATATTGATCTATGGTTTTCTTATACTGTCTTAGTCTGGCTTTGGTATCAGGGTAATGCTGGCCTCATGCAAAGAGTTATGAAGTGTTCCAGGTATTCCCTCCACTTCAGTTTTTGAGTTATGAAGTGTTCCAGGTATTCCCTCCACTTCAGTTTTTTTGAAAAAGTTTGAGAAGGATTGGTGTTAATTTTTGTTTGAACATTTGGTAAAATTCACCAGTGAAGCCATCAGGTCCAGGGCTTTTCTTTGTTGTGAGATTTTTTTTATTACTGAGTCAATCTTCTTACTAGTTATAGGTCTATTTGGATTTTCTATTTCTTGCTGAGTTTTGTGTTTCAAGGAATTTGTACATTTCATCAAGGTCATCCAATTTGTTGACATACAGTTGTTCATAGTACAGTCATGTGTCGCTTAAGAATGGGGATGTGTTCTGAGAAATGCGTCGTTGGGCAGTTATGTAGTGTGAACATCATAGAGTATACCACACAAACCTAGCTAGTTTATCCTACTACACATCTAGGCTCTATGGTTCTGATCTTTTCGGAGCAATGTTGTATATGCGGTCCATCGTTCATCAAAATGTCGTTATGCAACGCATGACTGCACTTCCTTATAATCCTTTTTAATTCTGTAGATTTTGTAGAATTGATGGTGGTGTCCTCACCTTCATTTCTGATTTTAGTAGGTCGTCTCTCATTTTTTTCGTAGTCCATCTAACTAGTTTTTTGATTTTCTTGATGTTTTCAAAGAACTAACTTTTGGTTTCATTGATTTTTTTCTTTATTGTTTTTCTATTCTGTATTTCACTTATCTCTGCTCTAATCTTTATTATGTTCTTCATTCCACTAGCTTTGGGTTTATTTTCTTCTTTTTCTAGTTCCCTAAGTTGTCGAGTTAGGTTGTTGATTTGAGATCTTTCTTGTTTTTTGTTTTTTGGGGTTTTTTTTGGTGAGGAAGATCAGCCCTGAGCTAACATCTGTTGCCAATCCTCCTCTTTTTGCGGAGGAAGATTGGCTCTAGGCTAACATCCAAGGTCATCTTCCTCTGCTTTATATGTGGGCCGCCTGTCACAGCATGGCTTGATAAGTGGTTTGTAGGTCCACACCTGGGATCCGAACCTGTGAACCCCAGGCCGCCAAAGCGGAGCATGCAAACCTAACCACAACGCCACCGGGCCAGCCCAATCTTTCTTGTTTTTTAATGTAAGCATTTATAGCTATAAATTTCCCCCTTAGCACCGCTTTCACTTAGTCTCCTAAGTTTTGGTGTGTTGTGTTTCCTTTTTTACTCATCTCTTGAGTATTTTCTAATTTCCGTTGTGATTTCTTATTTGATTTGTTGGTTGTTTAAGGAGGTGTTGTTTGATTTCTACAAAGTTGTGAATTTTCCAGTTTTCCTTCTGTTATTGATTTCTAACTCATCCTGTTGTGGTTGGAGAAGATACTTTGTATAGTATCTTCTAAAATCTATTGAGATTTGATATATGGCCTATTATGTGGTCTATCCTGGAAAATGTCCCACATGCACTTAAGAATGTGTGTATTGTTGTTGGGTAGGGTGTTTTGTATATGTCATGTTAGATCTAGTTGATTTATTGAATTGTTTAAATCTTCTTTTCCTTATTATTTTCTCTCTGGTTATAATGGTTACTATCCATTATTGAGAGTGGAGTATTGAAGTCTCCAACTGTTATTGTAGAACTTTCTCTTTCTTCCTTTATTTCTTTGACGTTTTGATGGTCTCTTATTAAGTAAGTGACTTTGTAACTGTTATATCTTCTTGCTCTATTGAACCTTTAATTAATATAATGTCCGTTTTTGTCTCTTGTAACCTTTTTTGATTTAAAGTCCATATTTTATGATATTTAGTATAGCCACCTGCTCTCTTATGGTTATTATTTGCATGGACTATCTTTTTCTATCCTTTTTCTTTCGGTCCTTTTGTGTCTTTGGATCTGAAGTGAATCTCTTGTAGACAGCATATAATTGGATCATCGTTTTTTATCCATTGTGCCAATCTCTGTCTTTTGGTTATAAAGTTTATTCTATTTACATCTAAAGTGATTACTTGTAAGGAGAGATTTCTGTCATTTTGCTATTCATTTTCTATATGCCTTCTGGGGTTTTTTGTCCCTCATTTTTTGCATTGCTGTCTTCTTTTGTCTTTACTTGTTTTTTTTTTTTGTTGCGAAGTGTTTAAATTTCTTATTTCCTTTTGTATATATTCTATAACTATTTTCTTTGTGGTTGCCATGGGGATTACATTTAACATCCTA